TTGCACAGTTGTTTCGGTCTGCGGCTGAGCCTATCTCAGTCAGCTGAATTCGGCAAGAAACTTTCAGCAAGTGCTGGCAAAGGACGACTTCCTTTCTTTCACACTGAATTAGTGCTACGAATTCAACACCAAAAAATTCGTCTTTGAGAGATAAATCAATAACTGGTGCATCCCGCTTTCAACTGACCTTTTAGCGATTCTGGAAAAAGCAAATTTGGTTACTAACTTTATCAGAAGATAGCTGCAGTCGGGAAAGAATGTCATTACTAAATCGCTTTCAAGTTGCCTGCACTTTTTATTGAGAATGAAACATTGGGGCACACGGGGCGGAAGTAATTATTCGTCCGTAATATTTTGCAGACAGGAATCAAGATGATTTCTTGGACAGCTGCTTTGTTTTTTAAAGCCATATTCGACCTTAAAATCCTGACCTATGCTCAGTCAAAGTTGGGAGGTAACTACCAAAGGACTTGCTTGTTATTTATTGTGCTAAATTAGAGGCGATGAAAGTCATGAGCTTACTTGAGGCAGCATGAGAGTTTTGCAGAGGTTGATAACGGTTCCCAAGAATGAGTCCTTCTTTATTGAAAATTATATTTAATTAACTAATCAACTCGTTTTGCAGCATGGCATGACAGCGCTTCATTTGGGTGCAAAAAATGGATTTGTGTCCATTTTAAATGTATTCGATCATTCACTGTGGAGAAAATGCTCCAAAAAAGTCAGTTGAAATCGTTGCATACATGCATTTTGACGTTTTCAGGCTCTGATTACCTTCTATAATTCCGGAAATCTATTAAACTAAATCTGCATCTTAATAAATTTGTGTGTCTGGAATTTTGCAGACTGGTCTAAACGCGCTTCATATAGCAGCTTATTATGGCAATTCTGACTTCGTGATGGAAATGCTAAAACATGTACCGGCAAGCTCTCGATCAGAACCACCCATTTATAATCATTATGTGGTCAAGGAGTTTGCCACCGAAGTGAGTGGCTGAAATTAAATTTTTATGTCAAATAAAAAGGTGTCACTTTTTGATCAATTTGAATACACGTATATGCACCAGGCTTTCATAGATTTCTAGAGCAGTGCCATCAATATTATCAATTATTTTCCATCTTCCTCTCCTCAACCACCACTTGTTTGTTAATTTTTTTTGTCGAGTGGCCGGTTATGAGTAAAATACAGTTAGTTGATAACTTTTGCTATTAAATATTAAGTATCGGAGGTTTGTTGCAGTCCGTCATATTAAAAATTTATGCGCACTCATCCTTTTCGCATCGTCGCTAATTTTCGCATCCTTTCCGCATTCTCATCCTTTCGGAAAAATTATAAGGCACGTCTGAATTTAAATTCGTAGAGAACAAATATTTGTGCCAGACGTTAGGAATGGAGTAGCAGTGTGTGAATAGAATAAAAGAAAATTAATGAGTGGACGACAGAATCATTTTTGAATTCGCATCTGAATAACATTCCCCTCATTAAAAATATCAGCTGCTGCTTTATTATTACGAACTGCCCGAATTGGCAGCCTTCTACGGATACATAGTGTGTAGGACAGTTGTAGAAGATTACTGTAAAAAATTGTACGCAAGATCCTTTTTTAAACCCTTTCCGGAAATTTTTGATTGTTTTAAAATTAAAAGATGGCTAAAGTGAGAAATACTGAAAATTTTAAATAGGAAAACGAGTGGTGTCGAGAAATCTGCTATTTTTTCCAGAATCCCAAATTATTTATTTATTTATTTTTTCAAATGCTTAGCATTTTTTTGGGGGGGAAAGAGAATATCTTGCAAATTTTAATTTTTATTATATATTTACAGTACGGATTTACGCCGCTGCATTTGGCCGCTCAGTCGGGACACGATGCATTGGTTCGCATGCTGCTCAATCAGGGAGTACAAGTGGATGCTACTTCAACTACTATGGTTTGTAATTTTCATTTTCTGAGGAATTTTGAATAAATGTGCTGCAGTTTTTAACAAGGCATACGATAAGCGAAATCAGTGCATCCGGAACAGATTACGCGCTACCTGGCAGCTCATGGATTGTAAGACAAAAAACGAGCTTTCTAGGCAAACTTCCAGAGCAGTACACAGAACTTTTTTGATAAGTATAATGAACTAGAAGAAAACTGATATTCATTTCCGAATTTGTTGTAGAGCGTGATTCCACTGCATCTGGCAGCCCAACAGGGACACATAGCTGTTGT